AGTTCCGTAAAGTTCAAATAAAGTTCCGACAGAACCTTCAAGTTCCATAAAGTTCAAATAAAGTTCCGAACGAACCTTCAAGTTCCATAAAGTTCAAATAAAGTTCCGACAGAACTTTAAAGTTCCATAAAGTTCAAATAAAGTTCCGACAGAACCTTCAAGTTCCATAAAGTTCAAATTAAGTTCCGACAGCAGTTTCAAGTTCCATAAAGTTCAAATAAAGTTCAGACAGAACTTTCAAGTTCCATAAAGTTCAAATAAAGTTCCGATAGAACTTTCAAGTTCCATAAAGTTCAAATAAAGTTCCGACAGAATTTTCAAGTTCCATAAAGTTCAAATAAAGTTCCGACAGAACTTTCAAGTTCCATAAAGTTCAAATAAAGTTCCGACAGAACCTTCAAGTTCCATAAAGTTCAAATTAAGTTCCGACAGCAGTTTCAAGTTCCATAAAGTTCAAATAAAGTTCAGACAGAACTTTCAAGTTCCATAAAGTTCAAATAAAGTTCCGACAGAACTTTCAAGTTCCATAAAGTTCAAATAAAGTTCCAACCAAGCCTTCAAGTTCCATAAAGTTCAAATAAAGTTCCGACAGAACTTTCAAGCCACATAAAGCAATCCGCACAAGTCTTTATTAGTAACAAAATTGTACGTAAATATTAAATGATCAGTGGCCCGAAGAAATCATAATTCTTATACATCAACATAACATAAAAAAAAAAAAATAAAAAGTAATTTCCTGGATTCGAACCCGTGTATTCGGCATGCGATCTACTAACGCTAACCACTGCGCCACAAATGTGTTGGAATACCATGCGGGCAAATACCAATTTAAAATTCATCAAGGTGTTGTGTTTCGTATGCAAGTCAGTCAGCTGGCACTGAAAACTCCAACAGTAGGCGGGACAACAGCTCACTTTAATATATTTCAGATGACGCAGCGGTTCGTGCTGGGGCTCTCACGCAGAAGGACTAGGTTTAATTCTTCAAACAGCTCCAATTCTATTACTAATGCTGATAAATCAATACACATTAATACCTGCCTTTAGAAATTACTTTCATAAAAGTGCGAACTAAACATAGAATTGGTGTAGAGAACAAACACCTTTTTTAATTTATTTTCTAAAAGTTCCGTTCAAGTTCCGCCAGAAGCTGCTTAGAATGCTCTTGAATTATGATACCGGAACTTTCAAGTTCTTATAACGACATAAAAATGAGGCTGCTTAGAATTCTAAAGACCATCACCAACTAAGCTGCTTAAGCCACAAATGGCCTTTTATCAGAACTTTTGGTTACTTGGGAATCGAATAGCCGGAAAAACCTTTGCGATTAATCCGAAGACAACAAATCAAGAATACTGGCAACTCTTCCATTTTATCATACGAACGCTATGAGGCAAGTACAATAGCGTCATCTGCCGCTCAAAGGTAAATGCTTCGAACGAATTTGATAGCAAAGATTACATCCTCAGAAGAAGGTGTTTGTGCAATGTCATATATATGTGCAACTACCCTACCCACTATACCACTACAATATACAAGCAACAATAAATTAGTGTCTCGTATGCCTCCGCCATGGCAGGACGGCAAAGCAATCGGTGTTGTTTTATTTTATATACTGATCACAACGCAGTAGGGTCCTCCCGTGCGCGATCATATGGTGCCGTGACCAACCACTTGTGACCGACGCGACGGGCTAACTACATTGTTTAAAACCACCGACGACCGACTGGCAAACAACCGCTCAAAAACTGTAACGACAACGAGGACGATGATGGAGATGCTGCAGTGAATGGCGCAATCTACTGGAAGAATACCACTTCACTTCCCGCTACGATGGTGTGGCCCAAAGGTAGCCATCTGACAGAGTATGTATGGTTCCTTGCTTCCCGCGAACCACGAGAGTTCTGTTAATCGAATAATTGGACTTTTAGGCGTCACTAGAAAATAGTGTAATTTCATGTTTTTTGGCGGTCTTTCGAAAATGTCGAACAGCAAAATTGCAACCAGCAAGTGTAACCCAAGAGCCAAAAGCGGTGCGATGATAGTTTTCATTGCTATGACGACGACTGAATAAAGGAGCTTACAAGCAGAGTGGTGAAAGACAATTCTCTTCATCGATTTCCTCTTTTGATAACCATGGCTTCACTAACCTATTTCGCACTATTTCTGCTATGCTCTTCTATAATCCAGAACAACAAACGTATCAATGAATGTGATTGCCCTCCAGTTATTAACGAAACAGAAAGTCGATGAACAGAATCGATCAAAATCACTTGCACCCCTGCTTCCAAGTTTGGTTACAAGATTACAACTCTGGAGAGCATTTTGTGTGGTCGTTGGGGGCGTGTGGTTCTGAATATGGCGATGAGTGTGCAAAATGTTACGCAATTGCATCCTCCCTATTCGCACATGCCCGAAGATCGGAGGCGAATGCCACTTGGACTTGTTTCGACTACTAACGACTCTCTGACGACAGTGTTTGGAAAGTAGCAATGCTACATCGACATGTTTCGTCTAGAAACTATTGTCTGATGACTGTGTTAGGGAAGCAACATATGCATGTACGTAATTGGTGAATTTGTTATTTATTTCGAGGTTTTTGGACAATGCTTGACATTTACCACTTTTTTAATAGTTTCTTGTTGAAAATCAACAGTCGAAATAAATAATAGATTGGCGATAAAATTATTAAAATTGGTTCAAGGGTAGCTGAGGTATTAAGGTTCCAAATCTTTCATAATTTCGTTACATGTTCCATTTTCGGTTTTCTAAAAGTGTATCTCCACATAGAAATCACAGACATGGTCCTACGTCAAAAAAGCACTTGTTTCTAAACGATGTCAAAAATTGAATCTTTTTTTAAATTGCCCTCCAATTTATCTTCTTAACGACGTGCATTTCGATCTTTATCTTAACACACGGGATCAAGTCAAAAGTTTTGGCGATCAAATCTTCTAAATTGATTGATGAGCGTTTTAGTAGAATAAGTGTATACCTTTTACGTTTTTTTTTTCCTTTTAATTCTACTACTATTGTATCACTTCACTAGCTCACTTTCACTAATTCACTATCACTAATTCACTTTCACTAATTCACTTTCACTATTTACTTTCACTATCACTTTGAACTATAACAGATACGAATTTCGTTTACTACTTGCAAACTTCTAGTCTATGACTAGAACGAAATACGTATATTTTATAGTTCAACGGTATAGTGAAAGTTAATAGTGAAAGTGAATTAGTGAAAGTGAAAGTGATGCAAAAGCAGGCTTGAAGGAGCCTCACTCGCGAGTTTGAAATGAGCCTAGCGTATCATTTTTCTGCGGAGTAGAATGCCTACTGCCAAATCATTCCACTGAGCTTCAGAGCTTGTGAGCGAAGGGGGATAAAATGAGAGTGAGATTTGCTGCCATTCATGTTCATGTTTTCTATCACACGCTCTTACTCTCACTCTGGGTGAACTCTGAGCTTCTTGCGTCGAACAAAAAAGTCATCCGGAGGCTCGAAAAGCGCACCTCACGTCAAATCATCAAGTTCACTCTCCCTTTCTCTCGAGGAGTTTTTGTTTACTTCTTCCATATTCCTGCCGCCACTAACTCGAGATGAGGAATGGCTTAACTCGCAGAACAAGAGTGTTTTAAAACCTCCAGTGACTTTGAGGAGTTTCGGCAAGCCTGTTCAAAAGTAGTAGAATTAAAATCCTCTAAAAAGTTTGATCAAATGTAGCTCGAGCACAATTTTCCCCAAACTGCAACTTCAATTCTATATGCATATTAGTTCCATTCCAGGTGACGTGATATGCAGATTTTCGGTCCGTGATCAATCTTTTCGTTTAAAACTTGTGATAAACTTCATAATATGGCAATGTTATGGGCAGCAATAGAAAATAGATATTATTTACTTTGCTTTCCAATCGAGGGGTGCGATACATCTAAATCTCAATTTTAAATGGTCGAAAAAAAATCACACTACGAAAAATCTTTTTTCATCTCTTGTATCTAAACCGATCTACTCGCATCGCTCTCCACCTTTTTTCAGGAAATCTTCAAAATCATAATCAATCGTGTTTCTATCTACATATTAAGCGCGAGTGCATCTCACAACAGCAAAGCAAATAAAAAATCCTGCATTTTAGATAGAGTCGCCCCCCTTGTTGCCAATCAATAGTTATGAATATAGTCTCGAATAAATGATACTAGAAGTAAAATAATTCGTGGCGTGGCAACGTGACATAAATATAGCCGTCATGGAATGGGTCAATAGATTAAATAAATTGCACCAATCTACTGACAACATTCGATTCAACTCATTTGAAGCTTTGTGTTGTGGAAATTTTTGTTATGGTTTGGTTATACACACAAACAGTTGTCAAACTTTTTCCTGCTGACTAATTTCAAATTCAATGTATAACTAAAAAACAGTGCCTTTCCATTTTTGGCAACACGTGATTGTTTGTTCTTCTATGCTTTCTGTATTGTGTGATTTTACTAGACCATTCTTTGGAGATTAGCGATGCCTGATATTTAATGAAACAATGTCTAGAAACCACAAGCACAAATCTAAAGAAAGATGAGGTTAAATTACCGAAAACGAGAAGTCATTGGTATCACATTCGGCAGGTAGGTATAATATAAAACATTCTCCCACTGTGCATGAACTACGCTTTCTTACATTCATAAGTGGCAGGCAGTTTTGCGCTTCTGTTTCGCGATAGGTACCTGAATTAAAATTATCGCAACGTGTTCCGCGTCGACGACGAAAACGGATTCAATACACACTCAAAATCTCTATTCAGCAAAATACACACCGGCAGTTTTGGTCAAACTCACGGACGACCGCGCGACCATACATACATACATATGATGCTCCAGTCAGTTCAGTTCAGGTACGTTCCCCCAGCAGCAAGCCAAGCAGTAGGGTAGTCAACAACAACAGCATAGAGTCCGCGTTTCAATCGGTAGTGGAGCGACGGCGGATAGAACAACCACTCAGTCAGCAGTAGTGAGAGAACTCGCGAATCGCGTGTCTGTTTTTTCGTTTTAGTGCGCCAGAAATCCTTGCGTTTTCGATTAGTGTGGATGAAATAAGCCATCAACAGGGGCTGTTTCGAAAAACGCAAATTGAACCGAATCAGCACAATATGCTAAGGTCATTTGAATGAGGGGAAAACAAGTGAAACTCTGTCATTTCTTGGAGCAGCGTGCAATTTGAAATTGAAATCCACCAGCGGCAGCCGCGCCACGTTGAACGGTGGAGGTCTATTTTCGAATCGATTGAGTTGAGCCAATTTGGGAGAAAAGCATCAATAGAACGAACAAGGAAGGCAAGTGAAAAGTGTTTTCGTACCTGATAGGACTTTTTTTTACTGATAAGGTCGTGACGCGGAGTGATAAGGTAAAGGTGAAGGCATCCGTGTGTTGTCAGCTGTCGATACTAGAAAAAAAAAAAAACAAATACCTGGCAGTAGTGGGATCGTATTGTTTGATCAGTGTGTGCATAGAAGTTGAGCACTCCGTTGATTGGATGAAATTGTGGCAGCGGTTGTAAAATAATGCCGGTAAGTTTAACCCCATTGATTGGATATGCGGATGAAGCTTATTAGCGAATAAAATTATCAGACCGTGTGCATCAAGTGCAACTCACCCAGCGGATCCATGATTATTGAGCAGGCGATTCACCCTTGGTTGTAGGTATTTAAGCGGGGGTGTGTATTTACAGTCTACACAGCAAAAAAATAATTTTAATATCACATCAAAATGCACTTCAATCGTGTTAAAAATACGATGTAATATTACTTGCCAAAAAGGTCAACATTATCATCAATACAGTGCATGAACTGACATTACGCTGCTTTAACTGCATTGGTTTATTGTTGTGCCCATAAATATTGCATGAGATTTTCGACATGATTGAAGTGCATCCTCTTGGATGTAATATTAAAATTTATTTTTTGCTGTGTAACTCCCACTGACTGGCAGTCACATTATGGATAAAATGCTCCTGCAACCATCTTTTACATAAATAATTGCAAGAAGCTTAAATCCTATAAATAAATATCTTTATCTTTATCTTTCTTTATTAAAGAGACTTTCAGCCATCGGCTGGTTCATCTCTCCTCCAGGAGTTAGAAGGTGACAGCTCTTTCGCAACTCCAAAAGTCCATTTCAAGAACACAAGCATTCACAGCAAAAAAATAATTTTGATATCACATCAAAGTGGATGCACTACAATCATGTCGAAAATTTCATGTAATTTTTATGACCACATAAATAAACGAATGCAGTAAAAGCAGCGTAATGTCAGTTCATGCATTGTATTAATGATAATTTTGTCCTTTTTAGCAAGTAATATTACACCATATTTTCGACATGATTGTAGTGCATCCGCTTTGACGTGATATCAAAATTATTTTTTTGCTGTGTTCCGAAGCTATTTTCGTATACGATAAGCCCCGCTCCAATACATTTCAATGTGGGAATCATTAATAATGTACTGGAACTTTCAATCAAGCGGTAGTATCGATAGTACTAGTACTTGGAAATTAAGTATGAAAATATTATAAAGGACAAAATGGAACGAACTCACCTAATCTGGGCAAGTGAACCTAACAAGCTGGCTTGATTTTAGTCGCTATATTTATAGTCTGGCGAATAGAATTTCGATCGATCAAAAAGCGGAATCAATTCAATATATTGTAGACCAACAACTGATTGGTTGGTCGTGATTTGCTCGATTGGTTCCGCTATTTGACAGCTCAATTGGTTCCCGATATTCTATCCGCCAGACTATACATATAGCGACTATAGGCTTGATGTGTTAGAGGGGAAGTTGCTATTGTAAACGATTCGCTTCACGGGGTAGTCCGGTTTGTGGTAGAGCTGGCACGGAATGTCCCGTCTGATACAATCCGATTATGTTAAAACCAATCCTGAACAACGCAAAATCCAAAAAATCGACGCGAGGAAAATGTTTCGCTTCCAACTACAAGCACAGCACTTTTCGCTGAAGGTATGATGCACATGAAATTGCTTTGTTTGTTAAAATACTACCGAAAATAAAAAAGTTTTAGGCACTCAACCACTGATCATCTAAAAAATCTTTTATTTGAAATTGGGTGTTTCAAGGGCTGGTGGAAAATCGACTTGAGAATGTATGACGAAATTAACTTTTAATTAAAAATAACAATAATAGTGCAAGTTGTCCGATATATTGTTTCTACATAATGACACTATGTATTACAAAAAAAAAAAAAAAATTAGAAAATTTCTAACCGCTATAAATTTCTAGTGCCTCGGATAACGAAACCAGGTTTGAATTATTCCTGATCCAGATTTCAAAAGGCTTAGAGTAAAGTGGGGAAAAATTTCAAAGCGGGAAAAATAGTATTTTGATTATCAAAGCCTGTTTAAAAATTAAAAAAAAACTTACAAAAATTGATATTAATATATCATTGTACATATTGATTGAGGTTGTAAGTCCCAAAAAAGAAGGCAGTCAATTAAAACATTAGGAAAATGCAAAAATATGTGACCTTGGCATACAATGGGGAAAGTGCTTGATTCTCCTACTTTTCCCCCGAATATGGGGTAAGTGGAATCTTCTTCTTCTTCCACGCTTTTTACGCTTCTTTTGCGATCGTTTTGCTGACTTAGTGTTCTAGATGCACTTCTACACTATTAATTGAGAGCTTTCTATGGCAACACCAATGCATGGAATTGTATATTGTGTGGCAAAGCACAATGATTCTCTATGCCCAGCGAGGTCGAAAAAACTTCTAACCCGAAATATTTCCTTGAGCAGACCGGGAATCGACCCCATCGCCTCCGGTTAGGTAATACCATAGAGGTAACTCTAAGACTAGAAGGTCCCGAAGAAACGTGCTCAACTTTTTGGCTCAGCTCTGGTACTATCTTCGGTCCCAAGCTAGTCGATTCACCCCTCGAAACATAGAAAGATCCAATAACCCCTCATTTTATCTGTCAAAATTTCATATCGAATCAAAACAAACATTGCCTAGTACTAGAATTTCGACTAGAATAGGGTACGTTAATCGATTTGCTTGGGACCAATAGGCTAGTCAAGTAGTGAGCCAATTTAAAATCGTTAGTTTCGTATTGATTGTTGGTAATACCATAGAGGTAACTCTAAGACTAGAAGGTCCCGAAATAACGAATTCAACTTTTCGGCTCAGCTCTAGTACTCTCTTCGGTCCCAAGCTAATCGATTCACCCCTCGAAACATAGGAAAAACCAATAACCCCTCATTTTATCTGTCAAACTTTCATAGCGAATCAAAACAAACATTGCGTAGTACTAGAATTTCGACTAGAATGGGGTACGTAAATCGTTTGCTTGGGACCAATAGGCTAGTCAAGTAGTGAGCCAACTTAAAATCGTTAGTTTCGTATTGATTGTTGGTAATACCGTGCCTTCACCGACTAGGCTTGAGGCCCTAACGCGCAGTGGGGTATAGGTCGGTCGTAATTCGATGTTTTTATGTGATCAATTTTCATGTCTTGCTCTAAAGTAGGACAGTATATTCCCTAGGGCACGGTGCAGTGATTTTAGGTATAGAGGGTCGCGGAAGCCGTAGACGAGCTTAAAGATGAATCGTAGTTGTCAGTTCGCTTTCGAAATCACATAATTGTAATGTATCCGGAAATTGAGTTCATAGTCCAAAATCACACCGATACTGAAAGTGGATCGGATGACGCTTCCTTGTGAGGTTACTTCCGATCGATCACAAAATATAAATTACTCACTTATAAAATTTCAAAGTTTGTTTTTATGTGTCCCACACATGATTTTTTGCAATGTGATCAACAAATGATATCTATAAGTCGGACACATACTTAATATGTGTACACTTTAAAGCCATGTGTAACCACACATGCTATTCATTTGACTCATAAATTTTATGTGTGCTTCTGGGTGGATTCTGTTTAGGGGCTGTTCATAAACTACGTAGACCGTTTAGGGGGGGTTGACAATTATCCACGGCCCATACAAGTTTTAAAATTTTTGGATGGGGGTTCAAGAATCCTAAAAACCGTCTACGTAGTTAATGAACAGCCCCTTATGTGTGGTCACATGAAAATCATGTGGAATTTTACATGGAAATCCGTCAATAAAATTGTGTGGAATTCTATTAGTGTAGAGTTGGTTGGAAATACTATCTAACTTGATGCTTTAGTGTGATCATTTTATTAGCTAGAGAAAGGTCTGAAGAGGGTAGGTTGATAGTTACGCTAGACAACGGCAGTATGAAAATTGAAAAGAAGTTGAAAATGAACGAACGGCCATTAATGCGACAGTACAAATCAAACGCACACTTTTAACCTAACTCATACATTAATGGATGAGGAGACAAGAAGCATTTCTGCAGATTTGATCAAGAAGGTAAAGAAGTGACTTGTACTGTCGCATTAATGATCCTTCGCTCATTTTCAACTTCTTTTCAATTTTCATACTGCCATAGTCTAGCGGAACTATCAACCTACCCTCTTCAGACCATTCTCTAGCTAATAAATTAATACAATAAAGCTTCTTGTTAGATACCATGTCCAAGCAACTCTTAAAATCGTTAACTTCACGTATGACGTAACATAAAAGCACTTTGAATGTATAAATTATTTGTGCTGCGTGAAGATATCGGGTGCGGTTATCGTTTGAAACTCGCAAAGGACTTCGACAAGGCGATGGTGGCAACATTGCGCTAGAAGGTGTTAGGAAACGTGCGGGCTTTAACATGCGGGGCATGATCTTCAATAAGTCCAGCCATTTCATCTGCTTCGCTGACGACGTGGACATTGTCGGAAGAACGTTTCTGGTCGTGGCGGAGCAGTACGCCAGGCTGTAACGTGAAGCAGAGAAGTTTGGATTAAAGGTGAATACGTTGAAGACAATGTATCTGTTAGCTGGAGGAACCGAGCGGGATAGGGCTCGCATAGGCAGAAGCGTGACAATCGATGGGGATGAGTTCGAGGTGGTGGATGAATTTGTGTACCTCGGATCATTGGTGACGTCGGATAACAACTGCAGCAGAGAAATTCGTCGGCGTATTATTGCCGGAAGTCGTGCTTACTACGGACTCCACAAGACCCTGAGGTCGGGTAAACTTCACCTCCGTACTAAATGTACCATGTACAAGACGCTGGACGATGCTCGAGGAGGACCTGCAAGCACTGGGTGTTATCGAACGACGAGTGCTTAGGACCGTCTTTGGCGGGGTATGTGAGAACGGTGCATGGAGGCGAAGGATGAACCACGAACTGGCGCAACTCTATGGCAAACCCTGTAGCCAGAAAGTTGCGAAAGCTGGACGGGTACGATGGGCGGGACACGTTTTAGGAATGCCGTACAACAATCCCGCAAAAATGGTGTTTGCCTCGAATCCGGCCGGTACAAGACGAAGAGGAGCACAGCGAGCAAGGTGGATAGACCAAGTGGAGCAGGATCTTGGAAGTGTGGGACGGTCAAGAAATTGGAGACAAGAAGCCACGGACCGAGTGAATTAGCGTAACATTGTGATGCAGGTGCAATCCTGATGGATGTCGGA